AAAATGACAAAAATATTCACCAAAATTAGAGAATTAAAGATATCATTACAAAATGAACAAATCTGAGAGAGGTCCACATGTAGTACCTATATATGTAATATCAAAGCAATTGCACTTGCGGTTTTCAACAAGAAGTCGAAAATATCACTTTTTACTAAAAATGACAAAAATATTCACCAAAATTAGAGAATTGAAGATATCATCATGAAATGAACAAATCTGAGAGAGGTCTACCCAAGGTACATATACACCAAGTATCAAAGCATTCAGGCTTGTAGTTTTCAAGAAGAAGTCGAAAAAGTAAAACATTGACACGAACGACGACGACGGACGACGATGACGGACAATCACTCATATGATAAGCTCCGCTCGACAAAGTCGACAGCGGAGCTAAAAAAAAAGTATTGAAAATACTCATTTAAAAGGAATTCAAAAACAGGTGTAAAGTACTACAACACAGAAACAAAAGTGTTGAAGTTATCCACGCTGGTAAATTAAGCTGAGTGACCTCACCCTTATATTAGTTTATTTAAAATTAAGTTAACTTTAAATTTTAAAATTTTCCAGTCAACCTGATTAAATTAGTTAGATTGCTAGAAATCATGACTGCATATCCCTCCTTATTTTGCATGAAAAATTTGTTGCAGGATTCATCACATCACTCAGGGCAAGGCGATGGCATACCATTTCTCAGATTCTTCTAATCCTGCAACTAGAAACAATAAATATATACAGTACATACCTGTGATATACCTTGTTTGTGATGCATTGCTATATCTTCCCAAGTAACTATGAGTAAACTAGATGTCTGGAAATGTTGACCAGTGAGTCTTTGTATTTCTTTATTAGCACGTTCATGTAGTGGATCATTTTCAGCTGTTTCACGATACCATATGTTACCAGTGTTTTCTTCATCACTATACAAAGTTAGAAATAATCAACTTTAAATTTGCCATTCTTATAACTCTAGATTAATTATTGTATGGATGGATAACAAACTAACAATGCAATAGTTTTTCTTTGCATGGCAAAAGTGAGTATAAAAGACCTGAAACAATTCTTATATATCTAAGCATTTTATGCAGAAAATACAAGCTAAAAGGTCATCATAATTAGACAAGTCATTGTTAATGAAACAGTCCCTGTTGCAATAGGAGAAATGTTATTCATATTTAAGATATTGTAATATGATCAAAAGCATGATGGCTACAAGTCTGTCATCTTTAACTAATCACAAATTGAATTGTAAGACATATCATAGACATGTAATACCACATTTTCAAAAAACATAATGGCTGCTAGTCGACCATCTTGCATCGAATCAGTAAACCACTGCATGTTTATATGTCCCACATAAAGCACTAGATACATAGAAAGATGAACAAATTCACTCCAGAGGGTTCTGAAATTGACCTTGAACGGACAGAAACTAAAATTAAATAATATTCATGTTCCTCAAAGAATACTACATGTACTGTATTAATCTCAATGTCCCACATAAAATAATATAACTTGAATTGTATATAAATTCAAAAAAAAAATGGTTTAGCAACATAACTGAGCAAAATTTGGAACAAGTCATTGTTAATGATACAGTCCCCGTCCAAAATTTTGTGATCTGACATATCAATTTGATGCTGATGAAGTCATTGAGATTAGATTGAAACCATTAATAGGATATGGATTTGTAAAATGCTTTTACACAAGAATTGAACATTGGCAGTCATATTGTCATATTATTGTCATATAATTGTATAGTCATATTACAAAAATAATGTTCATGTTGATGTTGATGTAATTATTGGTATACTGTCTTTGTACAATATTTAAACAGAAATGTTCATTGCATTCATGGGAAAGTAGGCATGGGTATCATGAAAAACAAAATGACCACCAATCAGCCATATTAGTTTGAATCACAGAAAAAATGCAGACATGCAACTACATTGTATAACCCAATATGTATGATCATCATATCAACTTTGATCTAAATTGGCCTAGTCATCTCTGAGAAACAGCTCCGGACATGTAAAAAATGATGATTTAACGCTTTTACAGGAAATTTGGGCGTCAGTTAGCCATATTGAATCGAATCACAAAAATAATGTTGGTACAAATGTATTCCTTGGTATACTATCTTTGTACAAAATTTAAAGAGAAACGTTCATTGCATTCAAGACAAGCCATGCATGGCACAGTCCCCGTTAGTTATCAAATTTAAGATATATAGTTTTGTTTATAGTAATATAGCTGGAATATAACCATGTCAGGAATATGATTTTTTAATATTAAAATGATTGATATTTGTATCTGATCATCAAACAAGTACTTGTCCATATTGAGAGATATTGCTCTGGAACAGCATTCAAAATCAGCCATTTTGAATACATGTATATATATAACGTGATGTATAACGAATATATAAAATTTGAATATAATCAGTCAAAGCATTTAAGAGATATGGCTCTAGAAGCTCAATCATTAAAACAAAATGGCCGCCAGTCAGCCATTTTGAATCCAATCTGAAAAATAAAATGACGTGCATCAGGAACCCGTTATGTCTAATGTATGTACCAACTTTGAACGAAATCCATCCATAAATGCCAGAAATGCTTGATATTTGATGATTTTTTAGCACAGAAATGACCACCATTCGGCCATTTTGAATAGGATCGTCAAACCAATATATCTGTTTATCTATGACATGATGTATAATGAATATTTAAAATTTGAATATTATCAGTCAAAACAAGTCGGAGATATGGGTCTAGAAGCCCATTCATTAAAACAAAATGGCCACCAGACAGCCATTTTGAATCCGATCTGAAAAATAAATGATGTGCATCAGGAACCTGTAATGTCTAATATATGTACCAAGTTTGAACGAAATCCATCCATAAATGCCAGAAATGCTTGAAATTTATGATGAGCAAGTCAGAGATACATGTATGGCACGAGAACCACATTCATTAAAACAAAATGGCCGTCAGTCGGCCATTTTGAATCTTATCTGAAAAACAAAATTATTTGCATCAAGGTCCTATAATGTCTAATGTATATACCAAGTTTGAACAAAATCCATCTGTAAACAGCCGGGAAATGCTTGATTTTTAGGATTTTTTAGCACAAAAATGGCTGCCATTCGGCCATCTTGAATCGGACTGCGTTCGAACGGGGACTAATAAAGTAGCATGGGTACCATGAAAAACAAAATGGCCGTCAGTCGGCCATATTTGTTTGATTAATGGAAAAAGTATAACCAAATATGTATGATCATCATTCCATGTTTGATCCAAATCGACCCAGTCATCTCTGAGAAACAGCATCGGATATGTAAAAATGACAATTTAGCGCTTCTACATGAAAATTGGGCATCGGCAAGCCCTATTGAATTGAATCACAAAATTCATGTTGGTGTAAATGTATCTCTTGGTATACTATCTTTGTACAAAATTTAAACAGAAACGTTCATTGCATTCAAGATAAAGTAGCATGGGTACCATGAAAAACAAGATGGCTGCCAGTCGGCCATATTTGTTCAAATCATAAAAAAAATGACGTGCATCTATTATCCAATATGTATGATCATATGATCAGGTATCAGAAATAGCAAATTTTACATCCAAAAGTAACTTGACGCACATATGTAAGACATTATGTATTGCTCTCTTGTAAAGTTTGAATGAAATCCGTCAATGGGTGTCCGAGATATAGCTCCGGACATACGTACAGACGGATGGACAAACCCAAATTAATAGTCCCCATTTTCGGACTTCATTCAAACGGGGACTAAAAATACATGAATTGTATAAAAGTTCTTAAATAATAGTGCAGTAATACATTTAGATTTGAACAAAGCATGAAACACTGCACTTTTTTGATGTATGGTTTACAACATATGGTTTACTACAGATCTTGATTTTCATAATCTGCAGTATAAATGTCTTCATTCTGTCTACTTATTTCTATGTCTTTTATAGCGATTTGTAAGATTCATAAATTTTTAAGATGGTTAGATAAAAACGTGTTTGAGTTATTGTAACCACAAAAAGAAAACAATTTTAAGTGAAATTTAATGAATATCATAATCAAACTTGACCAAGATCCCAAATTGGTTAATAATATAATATCCAAGTTTGAAAGAAATTGAGTAATTTTAATCAAAAAATCTTATGACAGCATCAATGATAGATAGATAGATAACAGCTTTATTACAACCGTGTAGAAAATTTTACATTTCTAATTTGGTGTTTAAAATGTAATAAAGTTAATAATGAATAACTAAAAAAAGTAAGTAGGCGAAAGTTGAGTAAATAAAAAGTGAAATAAGTGTGACTAATTGCGTTCACGCACAGCTCCTTAGCACGGGCTAAGAGGTCAAATCCCCTAGCCTGTGCTAAGAAAACGTGCGTGAACGCTTAGCACAGGCTAAGGAAGGCTAAGTATGGGTTAAATCTGATCCGAATTTAAGACGCGGTCTAGACCCTTAGCACGGGCTAACGAAGTGTGCGTGAACGCTTAGCCCAGGACTATAAAGCGCCCTCTCCCCTGCATTGTCCCATGTTCGTATAACGACTCTATTCCACTAGTCATTACTCCGCACACTTCCATACTGATCGGGTCGCTGTAGTAGAGCGTACAGCAGCTCCAATCGTAGATAAAATAAATTTGGTTCGCTGTCTACGTGATGCAATAATAAAACTATGTATTCTGTTACGCCGTTGTATACTGTTTCTGTGCATCCAAATAAGTTGGGTCCGTCTTCTCTCAGGTTCCTGTGCACGTCACTTCAAAATTAGAACGAAACATGTCAGCAGCAGAAATAGAACCTCGCGCGTGTCATCCATTTTTCGTTCGTAAATAGCGCCTCTTAGCCCGTGCTAACGACTGGCCCTCCCTGTGTGTGGACGCAATTGGTTCTAGCCGAAATGCAAATATGCTAGATAAGCCTAGCTTAAATCTTAGCCTGTACTTCGTGTAATGTGAACACAACTACTGAGTGTATTCTTTTGTTTGTTCATTTACTATTACTCAAGTACACATATACTACGTTCACGTTACGGGATCTCGGCACGTGCCGAAATTTTTAATCAGTTGTGTTTGCAGAGGGATTACAGCAGTTGTGTTCACGTTATTCAGGACCCACTTAGGACCGACTGGGCTCGTGCCGAAATCACGCTCTCATTCGTCGATACGCATATGATGATAATAATAATTGTTATAGTGAAATTATATCCATTTGTTGCAATGGTGTTTATTACGAGCCATCGTGCACATGAACGGCAAAGAAGATTCGAAACATAATTATTTTTTCACATCAATGTAAAATGTGCAAGAAAATAGAGGTTGTAGCAGCACATAAATATGCGTCGCTGATGACGGCTTGCATTCATTACTACAGCATTCGACCATCTACTAGTATATCCGATTTCCTGTCATCGTAATTTCATGCTAGTATCATCACTTATGTTTTTCTAAATTTA